GCCCATCCACTTTAAATATTCCATGGGCTCTCCAGCCCAATCACTTCACTTTTTAATTGGCACTTCACTTTTTAATTGGCTCTCCAGCCAAAATACTTACAAATTATACAGAGGCTCTCCAGCCCAATGATTGAAAGCACAGTGATTTCCCAACTTCAATGGGCTATCCAGCCCAAACATTCTAAGTCTTTCATGGGCTCTCCGGCCCAGTTTTTTTTCTTCATGGGCTCTCCAGCCCACGACTTGTAAGTGTCTCACTGTTCATGGGCTCTCCAGCACATATGTATTTTTTCATGGGCTCTCCAGCCCAAGTCAACCCTATTTCATGGCCCAACCCCACACCATTTTGCACTTCCTCTTTTGAAAGTGTCTTGTGCAGTTATGTTCATAGGTCCAGGCTAATCCAGCCTTGTGAAAATGAAAGCCCTCATGGACTGGCTGAACTTCTCAAAAGCTTTCAAAAACAATGGTAGAGTGAAGCTTACTTCACTTATATATATAAAGCACAAATGTCAAGTGTCTCAAACTATTATGAGTCATTTCACTCATAAAATTGGGCTTTCCAGCCCAGCCAGTCTTTTGCACCAGGCTTGCCCCTATTGAATTGGCTTTGGTCTCTCAAAGAACATACAAGTAGTGAAAGACAACAATCAACTGTACAAAGTGATGGAAAGCTCCAAATTAAAACACCACCAATTCTTCTGTGCCAGGGCTTACCCATTTTATGGCCCACTCAAGCTCAGTAAGCAGCTCATACTCTTGGACATCTCTGACATTTCGAATGAAGTCACAGGCCCTGCCAAAGCCTCTGTCGGAATTGCGTCCAACTCCTTGGATGAACAAATGACAAACACACAGCCTATCCAGCCAATATTACACGCAGGGTTTGCTAGCCTTTGAATTTTCTTTCAAATATAGAGGGCAATCCAGCCATTGTTTCAAGGACATATGCAAACAAGTTTCTCATGCGCCCTCTGCAGCTAGCTGCCCTGAGGCAGCTCTTCTTGGTGACATAGCTGATGAATTTGCATTCTCTGCCTTAGATAATTGGAATTTGTTTAGGCTATCCAGCCTAACAAAAAATGGCTTTCCAGCCAACTCTACAGGCTATCCAGCCTAACAAAAATGGCTTTCCAGCCAACTCTACAGGCTATCCAGCCTAACACAAATGGCCTTCCAGCCAACTCTACAGGCTGTCCAGCCTAACAAAAATGGCTCTCCAGCCAACTCTATAGGCTATCCAGCCTAACACTGATGCAGCCAGATGCAAGGGATCATCACCCAATCGAGCTCCAAGCGATACATCCTCATCCAGAACTCATCTGGTGCCCCCACGAAGTCTGGTAGGTCCTCTGACCTCCTGAAAGCATGATGAGCACACAGCACTCAAACAACCAAGTGTTGGTTTTTCAATCTTACAAATAAATCAAAAACATATGTATAAATGGCAACCAAACTACATCCAACACCAATATGATTCTTGCCACCCTTTTCCTCCATGCCATGATGTCCAGGCTTCAGCGCTGCCTCCTGTTGCTGCTTCTTCAGCATTTGCTGCTGCTGCTGTTGCTGTTTACCAGCACCCCCATCATGTGCATGTTCTCCTTTTCCACCACCAGCACCTTTCCCTGGTCCTTCTTCTTCAGCAGCATGTCCATCACCCTTTCCTCCTTCACCCTTTCCATCTTCACCCTTTCCACCTTCACCCTTTCCAGCTTCACCCTACCTTCACCCTTGCCACCTTCACCCTTTCCACCCTTTCCACCTTTTGCAGGTGCCACCACTCCAGAGCAACCAGGGCCTTTGCCAGATCCTCCTGCTTCTTCACTTTGCCATGCTTGTGGGATCTGCATTTGAGCTACGAGGTGGTCACTCATGCCCTCAGTGAGTCGCTCGAGGAAGTGCTCCTCTGAGACTCCTGCAGGCAGAAATTGCAAACGCAAACCATTCACCTTGTAGGGCTATCCAGCCCAAAGTGACTTCCTGCCCAAAGCTACCTCTACCCCTCTACCAAAGGAAATTGTAAGGGCTTTCCAGCCCA